TATGAAATCTGTCAAATATTACACCTCAAAAAAAGTGGCGCCGCCCTAGTGGCAGAAAAAGTTGTGGATGTCCTCATTCTCACATTCTCTTCGCTTTAAACGGCGTGCTCTTTAATCACTTACTTCCTCATTATTTAAAAGCGCATTTTCATATATCCTATTCCAATGATCGGTTCCTCCGATCCTCTTATCTCCTTTATAGCCGTACACTTTTCCACCTTTTTTAGGAAATATTCACTATCATTCCTGTGCTATTGTGGAACTCCTTATGTCTTTATATCCGTTATACTAAAAACGTTTTTTAAAAATCTTGTTAAAACATATTACTTATAAGCTTATATGTAACTTTCTCCAGATTTTGGTACTCACATTTAATTGGGACCACTATTGTTGTACACCTCAATGTATATAAAATGCATACCTACATAATATAGCTTTTTTCTTTTGTACACCTATCTACTTTTTATTTAAATTAGATGAGTTTTTTATGTAAAGATTATCTGGAAGAAATCACTTTCAGAGTGTTGAGATCACCGATGGTACATATTCGCGATATTGTACTTTTGTCTCCATTTTGAATTTGGTGTATAAATAAAAAATATGATCTTCGGCGCTCCATATAAGCTTTGGAAAAAAAATTAAAGGAACTTTCTTTTCATCCCAGCATTAAATGTTTTATTAAGCACTTTTTTTCACAGCGCATCTAATGGTTTACGCGTATTTTACACGTCAAATTAGGATTTTGGAATGGAAAAATAATATGATTTTGCATTCGCTTCATTATTTATTAATACTCTTTAATGCTTTTCAGTGATATGTAAGGGGGAGCTGAAATGGTATGTTGAAAATGATGCTATGAATAATCTTTATGTAGAGAGAAATTTTTAAATTATAACTAGTTTACATAGGTTCCAAGATAAGGTAAAATCAAAGAGTATTTAATGCAATATCAAAGTAATTCTCTCTTTCTTTTATTTACCCCTTAACAGTCCACGGGTGGACATGGACCTCTTTCATTGTAGGAAGGATGTGCCTTAATCTTATTCTTGTCAAGCGGAGTGGTGATCATAGTACCAGATTTTCAGACTCACTTTTGACGTTGTTCGTCGTGGTTTTTCTTAGAATTTGACATCAAACATAATTTTCATTTAATATTCGTCCATTTATCTTATGGAACCGACAACCGATGAAGAAAAAAAGGTTCCAAAGTGGCATTATGACGACCTGGTAAAACATAAAGAAAATCGACAGACGCTGGTGGCTGAAGGCAGAGTTTTATGTATGCCATAAAACACATAATAAGGTTGCAGCACTAATGGGTGGGCTCGACCGGGGACCACGTTCTCACAGAATTCCAGCGTAAAATAGCAGCTTAATGCTGCTGTGTGTCATACGGTAAATGTAGAGAATTGGAGACCCTTTTTAACAAGGCATTCAATGTTAGTCTTTAGGGGTGACAATGCATCTAAATTTTGATTATTAATCGAGAATAGATGAAGGTGTTTATGGACCACAGCATCAACTTACCATCAGGTGGGCTGTGTGCTTGTTCGTCACTCTCATTCTATAAATATATTAATACCGATTAGTTATTTTTATAAGGGCCAAGACTGATAGCCATATTCGTGGTAGAGCAAGAATAGAGACAACAGCAGGACCTTCAATCAACAATCATTTGAGAAGTGGGCGCCAAACTACAAATAAGTAAGTGAACCTAACTCAATTTTACTATTATGTTCTCATTTTACTGAGAGGTAATACCTTAGATCATTTTAAGTTACAAATTCACCACAATTTTCTTTAAATGTATAAGGGTGAAAAACGAGCACATAGTCCACATGGCAAGTTGATAGACATACTCATATACATCTATATTTATTCTCAATTAAGAATCAAAATGCGGATGCGTTGTTACCCCTGGATACAAAGATTGAATGCCTCATTTCTAGTAAAAGGGTCTCCGGTTCTTTACACTGATCATATGAAGCACAGCAGCATTAAACTGCTATTTTACGCTAGTATTCTGTGAGAGCGTGGTCTTCCCTCGGTCAAGCCGATGCATTTGTACCAACCATAATATAGGTGCAGTATAACTCTACACAGAACACCACCGTGAAATTCTGGCATGATTCTGTTTTTCGTATGGTGATAGAGCACCTGCATTTTATTCATTTATCAAGGACATATATATGTCTATGGGCCACTCCTTTGCTAGTTGTACTATGTATAACAATTTATTTATTTAAAATTTTAAATGTAACACCTTAAAGTAAAGGGCGTACTCAATGCCATATGTTATTTATTCTCTGCCAGTCAAACCTGGGTGCCAAACTGAGGAGATATAATTTATAAATAAGGAAAACATAATGGGAGAAAGTATTTCGCCTTCCGGCAAACCTCATTCAATTTCGGTTCATGCAGAAAAATGCTGACCTAAGCGAACTGATTGCCGGTGGTTGTGAATATAAGAATAGAAGCACTCCAAGGATGGGGATAAAAATTTAGAGATCTGAAGGATGGATAGGAGGATAACATGATCAACTATGTTGAAAGTGTTTGAAAAGTTAACCAAGTGCCACCACTGTTAATTTCTGCTCACCCATTTTATTCACGAGTCACGCTGCAGCTCTATTAGTAGTATAGCTGTAGCACGAATGGGTCGGCTCGACCGGGGAAGGACCACGCTCTCACAGAATACCAGCGTAAAATAGCAGCTTAACACTGCTGTGTATGGTGAGTGTAGAGAACCGGACCCGGCGACCCTTTTTACTGGAAACGAGGCATTCCATCTTAGTTCTCACGGGTGACAACACATTTTGGTTCGTAATCGAGGATAGATGTAGATGCCTGTGGGCCGCAGCAACCATTTACCATCAGGTGGACTGTGTGTTCGTTTGTCGCCTTTATCCTATAAAGAAAGCCTATTCTAAACTGTCTGAGACTGTGGTAAGCGAAGTGATGGTGCTGTGACCAGAGCGAAACCACGATTGAAATTCATTCAGCAGATTATGTTTTGCAATGAACGTAGATATTTAGGTAGATATTTGCTTAGAAAGAAAGAAAGAAGAAAGAAAGAAACATTTATTTGCACAGAATACAGGTGGTACCAGATTTAACAGCGGTGCATAGTTCATGCTATATTCTGCCTTTAATAGGCATGCAAATATTTATAATTATATAAAACAATTAAAATACTATTATGTTACTTACAAAAATGTGAAGTTATGTTAGTATTTGTCATAAATTATATACAAAATATTATTATTATATATTATTATTATTATATTATTATTTTTTTATTATATTACATTTAATTATTATTATATATTGCTATTATTATATTACATTTTATTCAATATTACAAATAATCATATACATTAGTTTTATGTTGCATGAACTCTTGTATCGTATAAAAACACTTAAAAACACAGGCTTCCAAAACTTTAGAAAGGTATGGGAGAATTGTATGAGAATGAGAATATGGAAGTAGGCGCTCAAGTATCATAGACACCATTTGTTTGCTAATTTCATCATAACCCACAGCCATAGATTTAATGGGTAGTAATAAAAGTAGCGGACCCGGAGAAGCTTCAATGATTCTATAGAAGAAATAGTTTGAGTCCGGATTTGAGGGTCTAATGAAGTTATAGAGACAAAATTATGATTAATATCATCCAAATTGAAAGAGGAGCCATATTCCGAGGAATTTGATTTATTAATTCCGGGAGATCTTAGGAATCTCAGTGGGAGATGAGTTTGTCATGAATGTAGCGGTGTTTAACATTTCGTATCATCTGATTACATCTATTTCTTAACAATTTTAAGTTCAATCCAATTTTGTTCAGAGTTTACTTTTTTAAACTTCTGAAAAGCCCGATCTCGTCGTGCCATTGCACTTTTAGTCATCCAGGGTGCATTGAACATTTTTGCAGTTGAATCCGCGTAAGAATAAACAAAACTTATGAAACAAAACATTATCTTTAAATAAACCCGTAAATAAATAGGTAGGTTTGTCATTGATTACAGATTAGTGTATTAATCCATACATCTATACATATAAATGACATTGAAGTGCCTGCCTATGTCTGTAATATAGAAATAACTGCCACATATTGAGTTGATGGGGTTATGTACATGCCATTAAGATCTTAATTTTTTTTAATTCTCTCTGTCTCTGTGTCTGTCTGTCCGGGATAATCTTCAGAAATGCTGAACAGATTGTAATGGAACTCCACGAACAGAAAGAGAACAAGTAGCGAGTGAGCTAGGTTATATTTTAGTATTTTATACCATAAATTTGGAATATTTAATAAAATTATAAAATAGATAATGGTCTTTGATTATCTTAAATTTAAATAACGGTTGCTAGTAGAAAACAATTTATGCAATTTATAATATGTTCGTAAAATTATTTAGCGGTTTACCTATAATTTAATAAAATGATAGAGTCGGAAGTATACTGATGTTTGATTGACAATCTTTTTAGTCTGGTTTAAACCTCACCAGCATGAAAGTAAAAAATTTTAAGTTTCAATTTTCTATCCAAAAAGATATATAGAGATAATACTAATAAATAAAATTCCATTTATTTATTGTTATTAAATTTTACTATTGGCTTCCCTTTTTTGGGATGTACCTTTTTTGTAGATCCTTTATATGTATATAAACACGAATAAGTGGGGTAGTTATTTATTTTTATTGGGATCGTTATATAAGTCGCTTGAGATACGTATTTCGCCTTCACACTTTGATCATATTTATTTTTTCGTAGTGCCCTTTTTGAGTTCTCGTCATCGGGTTCTCTGTATCCTAGTGCAAATTTTTTTGATACTGTTTTATTAATAAAATGTCATGACTTTTTGCACAGGGGGAAACTCCGAAATACAAATGAGAAACCATATTATCTTGATCCATACAGTGTGAGTATTTCTGAGAACTGCTGTATATTCAGTAACATGTGAATATTTTTGGTTATATAAGTAAAAACTTTCTTATTTCAGATTCACAGACAGTTACTCAGAATGATTCCTGAATTTCCGAATGCCAATATATCTGTGGAAGTTATTGGGAAAACGGTAGAATACAATGATATTGTGTTACTTAAAGTAACCGAACGTAAAGAAACTATGCGTTATAGGGCTGTCGATGAGACGAAGTACGCGGACGACGAATTGCAGAAGAAAATAATTTTTATCGTTCACGGCCTCAGTATTATGGGATTACCATACATCCCATGTCTCAATGAAAGCCCATCCTTTATTCAACTGTTGTCGTATTACTTTGCGCATTTGGATAAGTTCGACATTTTTTTAATACCAATGGCGAATCCGGACGGAATAAAATATCCAGTAAGTATTGAATTTAACGCTTTCGCTGTCTCATGCATTACATATAGGTCATTGCTACATTGCTAAGTCATTGGTCTTACTATTGTGTCTGAAAACCGGACAGTAAAAGTGTTAAGCAGCAGCGATTCACTGTAAACCGGACAATAAAAGTGTTAAGCATCAGCGATTCACTGTAAGCCAGCAGTTTTTCATTAAATCCCTTTTAGAAAAGGTCTATTTGTTATTTTTCCGTGTTCGTTTTTAATACAAATATTCGTAAATTTCATTAAAATATAATTGATTGAAACCTTGATATGCGAGCCGTCATAGTTCAGAGGCTAAGCGCTCGCTGTAATGTTCACAGTACCTATGACCCGGTTTCGAATTCCGCCCGCACCAGGAGAATTATTAATTGCAATTTAAAGTGCTGACTTGTATACGTGTTCGGCGGTGAAGGAAAACGTCGTGAGGAGACCGGCATGTCTGAATAGTAAAAAAAATAATCAAAGACATTTAAATACCTCCAATACGCAGCTGTTGCGGTAGCGCGGTGGACACTTCCTGGTTTGAAAAACCCTCTCAGAAATTAGAGGAGGCCTGTGCCTACGAGTGAGACGTATACAGACTTTAACTTTAATTTAACTTTAAAATGTATTGGAATGTGTGAAAGCACACTAGCTTCTTTTTCATTTTTAATAAGCCTTTTTCTTTTTACACGAATCTTAGTGAGAAAGCACGGCTCCAGGCTCCATAACTAAACAACAACAATTAACAAAAATCTATTTACCTTTTGATGTCTTGATTTTGTGATTGCCGTAGGAATCCGACTAGGAGCGGCGCTTTGTCAACCCCATGAGTGCCCCTGTGGTAGCAGCGTCGACAAGTTTGGGCTCCACGGACTTTCATGTAAGAAAAGCGCTGGTAGGTTTTCACGACACAGTTCTTTAAACGATGTCATCCGAAGGGCTCTTGTCTCTATAAATGTTCCCTCGGTTTTAGAGCCTTGTGGAATATTTAGAGACGATGGCTGGAGACCCGAAGTTATGACATTGGTCTCTTGGGAGAGAGGTAAAGCTCTAGTGTGGGATGCTACTTGCGTAGACACTCTGGCAGCCTCTCATCTCAGGGGTACCTCGTTTAGAGCCGGGGCGGCATCAGAGTCAGCTGAACTGAGTAAGTGGCGCAAATATGAGTCTCTGAGAGATGGCTACATATTTGTGCCATTTGTTGTAGAGATTATCGGTCCGTGGGGCCCACGTGCGAAGAAGTTCTTAAAGGAACTCCATCCGCGGCTGGTCGTTGCTGTTGGTGATAAGAGGGCTGGTTCTTTTCTCGCTCAAAGGCTAGGTATATCCATGCTAGGTACCGCGGGGAGTAGGACTATATGATAATTAAGCTTCTAGTTTTATTTTTTTTATTATTATAGTTTTTAATATTTATACAATGAAAAAAGTCTATATAAGGTCTACAGAATTTTTGGCAATTGACAAATTTGAAATTCCTAAGAGCTTTTGATGTCTTAGTTATTGAAAATTTTAACAACAAAGTAACACATAGTGTATAGGAATTTTAATTTTTCACTTCTGAATTACGTTGTAGAGCTGGTTTTGGAATAAGAACGCATCTCCGCAAAAAGCCTGCCCTGGAGTGGCATTGGATCGCAACTTCGACGTGGCATGGAACTCTAGTCGCTTGCTAAGCTCCTGCAGTCAACTCTATCCAGGTTTTGTGCCATTTTCCGAAGTTGAGACACAAGTGATTCGGGACATTTTTCATTATTATAATCACAAAATAATTGCGTATATTCATGTACATGGGGGAGGTCACAGCGAAACGACTTTTAAGGTAATTAACAAAATAAAGATACTGAATGAGAAAGTATAAGAATTTAATTATTGTTTCTTTACTTTTATTGAATATGTGTATCAAACTCCTTCAATTATGTGTAGTAGGGAGGGGAAAGGATAGGGAGAAATATAGCTACTTCAGATCAACTGTATTATTAAAACCAATACACAAGGCATCTTTCTGATTCACGCGCCACTTCTTTTACAAAAATGATTTTTTTAGAATAGAATAATTTTTTATTCGATATTGATTATTACATAATACTTATTGAAAGTCATTTTTTATTTACCACTGGTTCGGAAAACACCCAAGTCCTGGGAAGAACCAGCAAGAAACCCAGCGGGACTTTTTTTTTCAAACATATTTCACTTAACAATAATTTCGTTTATACAATTTTTAAATGATTTTTCATAGAACCAGCATAGTGGCGATCACCTTATTCCCAGGGGTTATTTTCATTCATGTATTCCTTGATATTATAATAACCCTTTTTGTGCAGTTTTCTTTAATAAACCTTTTAAACTTGTTTATTGACAAACTTTGAATATGTTCTGGGATTTTGTTGAAAAAAGCGTATACATTGCCCCATAAATGAATTACTAATTCTGTGGAGCCTAGTAACTGGCACTACAAGTTTATGTTTGTTCCTAGTGTTTAAAGTGTGCACATCTTTATTAAAATGTTCATTTCTTTAAATTATTCTCTGAGGGATTCTTTACAGTTTAGGTTATAAATCGCCCGTACGGCTCTCTTTTGCAAAACAAATATAGCTTCAATATCAGTCGCATTACCTTATAGCAAAATTCCATAAGACATTACGCTATGAAAGTAACTAAAATACACTAATCTAGCTATCTCAACATCTGTGAGACTTCTAATCTTTCTTACAGCATATGCTGCAGAACTAAGTCTGCTTGCTAATTTAGATATAAGGGGGCGCCATTGAAGTTTCGCGTCAATAGTTATACCAAGAAAAACTGTGGTATCCACAAGACTCAACTCCTCCCCATTTACCAGCACATTGGTATTCGAATGTTTTACATTAGGTATTGCAAATTTAATACACTTTGTCTTATTGCCGTTTAAGAGCATATTGTTGGCGTTAAACCAATGTATCAATTTCAATAGAGCATTATTTACATCGTCATATTTAATTAACTGCCGTTTGAGTTTGAAAATTAAAGAGATTAGATTACCATTTTTACACAGCACTAAGGAATATGTCTACTATATTATGTAAGAGTCAGCATTTAATAAGATTCAGTATAAAAATTAGTACGCAGGTTCATTTAAAACTTTATTAATTAAAGTGTGGTAGAGTCAAGCAGCAGCTTTTTATAGCACGACCTGGTAAGACATGCAGGAACGCTTGCAAACTATACCAACGTATAATGGTAGTAAAGTGGGTGACATGTTTCGTATGAAGTGACAAGAATCGAAGACCCTTATTGTTGGTAACGAGGTATTCTATCTTAGTAATTCGACGCCAAATTCAAAAACTCATAGAGACGATACGTCATTTCTTCTCGATATACGCCACTTGAAAAAGTTTACTATCATACAAACGTACACAATTTTTTTTAATAGAAATAACCTTTTTCTGTAACAGAAGGGGCTTGTTGAAATTTGGAAATTGTATAGAAATTGGACCCTTTACAACTGCCACAACAACAACTTATCAAACCAAAGTATATTTAAAAAAATTATGGCAAGAAAAATATCGACTAGGAACTTGTTTTCTTAATTACACCAATGTTACCACAAATTTCTTTAATGATCTCACACACTTTTCTTATACACAGAAAAATACGTGAATATAAACGTCTATACGATTTCTCTATGAAATGTTTAAGTTTGCTGAAATTTATTTCTAAGGGCGACGCTGTATTGTATCCAAAAGGATATACCGATGTTCAAGAAGACGATGACTTATATATAGATTTAAAAGGAGAAATCGATGAAGCCATGAGAAACGCGAGTTTTCGTGTGATGTCAGTTACTGTAGACACATTACATAGCTGGTATGGGACTATAAGTGGAAGTAGTGTCGACTATGCTTCAACGGTATTATCTTTTCTTTTTATGAATTTTGATATTAGCCATAATTTTTGATTCTGTCATGATATCAAGCAACAAATACAAGAATAATATTTAAAAGCTAGTGTAAATAAGCAAAATGAGTGGAGGCATTTTATATACAAAAAATGCACATATACGTGGTAGAGCCATGCTGCAGCTATATTAATAGTATAGTTGTAGCACGAACGGGTCGGCTCGACCGGGGAAGGCCCACGCTCTCACAGAATACCAGAGTAAAATAGCAGCTTAACACTACTGTGTTTCGTATGGTGAGTGTAGAGAGCCGGAGAACCTTTTTACTGGAAAAGAGACATTACATCTTAGTCCACACGGGTGACAACGCATCTGCATTTTGATTCACAAACGAGGATAAATGTAGATGTGTAAGGGCCACAGCAACCACTTACTATCAGGTGGATTATGTAAGTGTACTCGTTTGTCATCCTATCATATAAAAAAACCAAATATAACGTAACGATTATTATACTATAGTAGCCAAGTCCTCAGACACAGTGCTATGGAGTCGTCAATATTTTATTATTATGTACAAATACCGCGGCATAAGTAACTCCATTAACTCATCTCGTCTCGTTTGTGAGTGCCGTAAGAGGCAACCATTAGAAATAAAAGAAAGATGAGGAATCGGGCTGAGGCTACAAAATTTTTACAATAATCACCTACCTGCCTGCACAGAGTAGCCATAAAGTTATCACTATCGACAAATTGTTGACATTTATTTTCGACATACTATTGACTGTTTGTATATTATGACCGTGTAGTTGTGGTGTAGGATTATCCTTTACCCCCCTATATCGCCCCATGGGTGTCACAAGAGGACATAGGGAAATAAACCAGGAGATAGGCAGCACTGTTTTCAACAACTGAAAAATAACGCGCACGAATTGAATTGCACGAATGCGACTGGAGAGCCAATCAGCGCGTGCGAACGATACGCACGAGCCAATTAGCGCAACTTATGCGCAATAAGCCAACAGCACGAGTTATGCGCAATAACAATCACCGCTAGATTTTCGTGCCGTTACTTATAATCTCAATTCCCCTGCCAAGCGATAGGTACGATTAAGGCAAATCTTCCATACACGGAGAGAGTCCCATGTCCAACACTGGACTTTTACAGACTGATGGTGATAAAGAAGAAAGCATACAAAATCTAGTAGTTCTGTAATGTTTTGCTCGCAGGTATATAGTGTACCATTTGCCTTAGAATTTGTAATGCAGCCTTACGAATATCACTTCAATTTCGACAAATTGAAACATGAAACCACTTATGACTCATTAAATGCAATTTGGGGAAGAATTATTGATGTCGTGTTCAAATTCTTCTGGAAAAGTTCGCATCATACGGAAAATAGTCGGTAATATAATGTTAAAATAAAAGTCTAATAATGTTACTGCATTTTTTTATTGTGTTTATAAACATAATCTTTCTTTATGTGAAGTCGTATGTCCGCCAGTGGATTGTCAAAGGGTTAGTTAGAAAAGGAATAGTAATTCAATGAGGCTTTCTACACTTATTTCAGCCACAAGGACCAATTTGAAATGAGGTGAAATATTTGACACATTTCATGGCGGAGAAGCTAAATTGTTAGAAAAGTGTAAAGAATAATGTTTCTTTCTGAAATATTAGTTATATATTTTAGATTAGAAATGTATAAATCAAACTACGGATGTTTCTGAAAGTAGGAAAATTAAAAATACAGTTAAAATGTACAAAATATTAAAGATCACACTATTTATGGATTGTTTTGTGTTTATACACATACACTAGAAACCGGAAAACTTTTATTTACACCTTAAATTTTCAATGATTATGACACGGGGTGACAAATAACTTCACCTCACTCGTCACTAGCGACATCTGGTGAAACGAAGATTATTATTATCATCATTTAAATTTAATTGAGTACGTGACAGTATGCGAGCAATCCGAATTCGATATCGATATCCGCCATCATCAATTAAATCATTAGCACGTATATAAGGCTGTAACTTTGATGTTTGCTATTTCTACATAATGATGAATAATTATTACAAAAGTGAGTTTATAAAAATAATCATAATGATTTTAATATTTGGAACAAAAACTTGTTTATCATTACAATGTTGGCAAATATTTTTAATCAAAATATTAAATTAAATTAAATGTATGTATTACGTGTTTGCGCGTTTACCGCTAAAAAGAACCCCTTTGTCGTATCTCCTCAGTTTCAAGGTACTCCCCTTGTTGCCTCAGCCAGTATCGGAATCCTCGGCGTCGACATATCGAGTAGCGTGCAGTTTCGTGGTCACTTGGAAGAGAAGGCCAAATTGGCCTCTAAAAAGCTTGGCGTGCTCAGCAGAGCGGGACAGTATTTCATGCCGGCTCAACGCCTGCAACTTTACAAGGCGCAGGTTCGGCCTCACATGGAATACTGTTCCCATCTCTGGGCTGGGGCTCCCCAGTGCCAGCTTCTTCCACTTGACCGCATCCAGCGCAGAGCGGCTCGAATCGTCGACGACCGAGTCCTTTCCGATCGGCTCGACTCATTGGCACTGCGAAGAGATGTTGCATCTCTTAGCATTTTCTTTCGCATTTACCATGGGGAGTACTCTGAGGAATCGTTCGGATTAATCCCAGCCGCCAAATTTCACGAACGCACATCGCGGCAGAACTCCCGATACCATCCACACCATCTGGATGATTGGCGGTCCACCACTGTGCGATTTAGAAGATGTTTTCTTCCTCGCACAACTTCCTTGTGGAATAGTTTACCACCAGCGATTTTTCCGGACCGATACGACTTAGGGACCTTGAAGAAAAGAGCCTACTCCTTTTTAAAAGGCCGGCAACGCATCTGCAATTCCCCTGGTGTTGCGGTTGTTCATGGGCGGCGGTAGTCACTTACCATCAGGTGAGCCGCATGCTCGTTTGCCCCCTCTCCTATAAAAAAAAAAGCTCTAACACGACCTTTAAAATATATTTGAGAAAAGTAAAAAGTAAATAGGTCTTACTAATTTTTAAATATCTTTTATGGAACAGAGCAAAATTGCACGCACTTTGGACGTTGGTAAAGTATTAATTTATGGTGTGTTTTTAGACAATTCAAGTTTATTTCCGTGAAACCTTGATTCAAAAGTACATTAATCCACAACAATTATTACACTACTTCGACTAATGATAGTAATTCGCGGTTGCGTTCTGCAGGTTGCCGCCGTGTTTGGCATTACAGGTCGGCGGATTGGGACGGAATGCGGTCTTTCTTTGCATCCTACCCATGGGGGCGGGTTTGCTTCTCGCCGGATGATCCCAGTGCTGTTGCTGACTCTGTCACTGATGTGGTGCTACAGGGAATGGAACTATTTATTCCATCATCTGTGGTACCCATCGGAGGCAGATCTCAGCCTTGGTTTGGTCGCTCCTGTAAGACTGCATTGCGCAGTAAGCAGGAGTGTTATCAAGCCTGGGCTGCGGCTTCGGTGACTCGGGATGTAAACACCAGCACACTTAAAAAGAAGTATAACTTCGCCTCCAGGTCCTTCAAAAGAGTTATTGCCAAGGCAAAGTCAGAGCACATAGGCAGAATTGGCGAGAAACTAGTTCGCCTTCCTTCGGGAACCCGTGCATTCTGGTCTCTCGCCAAGGCTGTCCAAGGGAATTTCTGTAAGCCATCACTACCATCTCTGCACAGGGAGGACGACTCACTGGCCCAAGACGCAAAAGACAAAGCCGACCTTTTAGGCTCCCTTTTTGCGTCCAACTCGACTCTTGATGACGGGGGGAAAATACCGCCGACCATCCCGCGGTGTGAGTGCTCCATGCCGGATGTGCTATTCTCACAGCGCTCAGTTCGCAAAGCACTTCTCTCCCTGGACATCCAGAAGTCGAGTGGGCCTGACGGAATCCCCCCAATTGTGCTGAGGACGTGTGCTCCGGAGTTGGCACCGGTCCTAACGCGTCTTTTCCGGTACTCCTACTCCCAAGGCGTAGTCCCGAATTCATGGAAGACAGCTTTTGTCCACCCGATCCCTAAAAAAGGCGACCGCTCAGACCCGTCCAACTATAGGCCTATCGCGATCACCTCCTTGTTCTCCAAAATAATGGAATCCATTATTAACTGCCAGCTCATCCGGTACCTTGAGGATCACCAGCTGATTAGTGACCGCCAATACGGTTTTCGTCGGTGTCGATCAGCTGGTGATCTTCTGGTCTACCTGACCCATAGATGGGCGAAGGCAGTAGAGTCCAAGGGGGAGGCGTTGGCCGTTAGTCTGGACATTGCGAAGGCCTTTGATCGGGTTTGGCACAAAGCGCTTCTTTCGAAGCTGCCTTCCTATGGGCTTCCCGAGAAATTGTGCAATTGGATCACCAGCTTTCTTGCAGATCGGAGCATCAAGGTCGTTGTAGACGGTGCATGTTCTGACTACAAGCCTATTAACGCTGGTGTTCCACAAGGCTGTGTGCTATCACCAACGCTGTTTCTTCTGCATATCAATGATATGTTGCTAACTGGTAACATTCATTGCTATGCGGATGACAGCACTGGTGATGCTCTATACACCGGCCGGGCCAATATTTCTCGGGAAAACGTCGCCGAGTACCGGAACAAACTTGTGTCTGAAGTCGAGTCTTTGCTGGACAAAGTCTCGGATTGGGGGCGACTAAATCTAGTCCAGTTTAATCCTCAGAAGACACAAGTTTGCGCGTTTACCGCTAAAAAGAACCCCTTTGTCGTATCTCCTCAGTTTCAAGGCACTCCCCTTCTTGCCTCAGCCAGTATCGGTATCCTCGGAGTCGACATATCGAGTGACGTACAGTTTCGTGGTCACTTGGAAGAGAAGGCCAAATTGGCCTCTAAAAAGCTTGGCGTGCTCAGCAGAGCGGGACAGTATTTCATGCCGGCACACCGCCTGCAACTTTACAAGGCGCAGGTTCGGCCTCACATGGAATACTGTTCCCATCTCTGGGCAGGGGCTCCCCAGTGCCAGCTCCTTCCACTTGACCGCATCCAGCGCAGAGCGGCTCGAATCGTCGACGACCGAGCCCTTTCCGATCGGCTCGATTCATTGGCACTGCGAAGAGATGTTGCATCTCTTTGCATTTTCTTTCGCATCTACCATGGGGAGTGCTCTGAGGAATTGTTCGGATTAATCCCAGCCGCCAAATTTCACGAACGCACATCGCGGCAGAACTCCCGATACCATCCACACCATCTGGATGATTGGCGGTCCACCACTGGGCGATTTAGAAGATGTTTTCTTCCTCGCACAACTTCCTTGTGGAATAGTTTACCACCAGGGATTTTTCCGGACCGATACGACTTAGGGACCTTCAAGAAAAGAGCCTACTCCTTTTTAAAAGGTCGGCAACGCATCTGCAATTCCCCTGGTGTTGCGGTTGTTCATGGGCGGCGGTAGTCACTTACCATCAGGTGAGCCGCATGCTCGTTTGCCCCCTCTCCTATAAAAAAAAAAAAAAAAAAAAAAAAATTACGTACTCCAAACCGAATTTTGGTGACAATGGCCACTAATAGTCACAGTTGAGATCAAATTGAAAAATAACAGAGATGTACATAATTCACAGATGGTGACTCATCTGTGAACGGAGAGAAATCAAGCGCGGTACCAACGGATTTTACGTGTATTCGAGACACGGTGGTGAAACACCGCAAACTTTCTCACTGACGCTACTGTTATTTTCTTGACAGCAACACCCAAAAACTGATTTGGGCGCAACCCAGTTCAAACTCGGGACCATATGATGATCAGTCGCGTTTACAACCAGTATAGACCAAAGAGACATCGGTTAATATATCAGACTAAAACAACAGCTTCTTTTATCGACAGTATCCATTGAACATAAATATTTCCAAGAATGCGCCAAATGGTATGCATTATAATTTAAAATTAAAAAATTTGTACAACCGACTTCGATATAAATTATTAAGAATAACTCAAAAACTATTGGTCAGACCTTGATCACTAGTACCAGCACCAGATTTCAAATAAAAAAAGAATCATCGAAATTGGTTCACCCAGTAAGAAGTTATGAGGTAACACACATAAAAAAAACACAGTTGAATTGAGTACCAGCTCCTTTCCTAAGTTGGTAGAAAAAAGGCCCAGTGCAGTGGCGAGTTGAACAGATAGTTTGTAGAGCAGATAACCTCGTAGTTTAACCAAAAGGATCTTTACACCCGTATTTGATATTTCTGTTAATTTTGGGTTCTGTGTTCATACTTCACCATCTTCACTAATAAAATTAAATTCCTTGCATAAGTAAGTACTTCAATGCAGTAATTAGTTAAAAAAAATCTTTTGAGAATTGTAAAGTAATCAAAAAATATATATGACACACATGTATTTGTAAAAATTTTAATAGA